AAGAGATGTGGGCCTGGGCCTACCCCTGACCCTGAAGAGGCCTGGGCCCAACTAGAGAGATGAAGGCCTGGGCCTACCCCTGATCCTGAAGAGGCCCGGGCCCCAAAAAGAGGAGATGTGGGCCTGGGCCTATTCCTGATCCTGAAGAGGCCTGGGCCCTAACAAGAAGAGATGTGGGCCTGGGCTTACCCCTGATCCTGAAGAGGCCCGGGCCCCAACAAGCGGAGATGTGGGCCTGGGCCTATCTCTGACCCTGAAGAAGCCTGGGCCCAACAAGTGATATGTGGGCGAAGCCTACCACTGAACTTAAAGATGACTGTGCCCTAATAAGAAGAGTTATGGGCCTGAGCCTACTCCAGACCATGCAGAGGCTTGGGCCAGAAGAAGAGATGTGGGCCTGGGCCTATTCCTGATTCTGAAGAGGCCTGAGCATAAACAAGAAGAGATTCAGACCTGCTCCTACTCCTGATCCTGAAGAGACCTGGGCCCAACAAGAAGAGATGTGGGCCTGGGCCTAGCCCTGACTGTGAAGAGCAGCAACAGTAATATCAACAACAGAATCAGCAACAAATCAGCAACAGGAATAACAACAGCAGCAACCAACAGGAACAACAGAAGGAACTGCAAGAATAGCTTCAGCCACAACAACATGAACAGTAGCAGCAACAGCCGCAACAGCTCTCATAACACAGATCTAAAAGCCTTTCTCAGTCTTATTGCACATGTCTTGTCCTATCATTGTGTTTATAGTGTTCAATAAATATAAGGTTATCTACAACCATGGCTGATCTTGAGATGTTTATTTTGGCTAACACAAAGGCCCCTCCTGCCAGGGTAACAAGTAAGCTGATGGCCCTTCCACCTCTCTACTTCTGATTCTCAGATCCAATTCTGCCCAGTCTCATGCCCACCTGAGTCTACTGCAGTGTGTTATCTCCCTTTCCTCTCTCATCCCATTCCCAACAGATCACAAAGCTCTCCTCCAACCTTTCTTCCCCCAACTAACCTGATTATCCCAGCTTCCAACACTAGCAAGCATAACCTGGAAACACATCACTCGAGCAGGAAAAGGAAACCAGGCCACAGAAAATTTCCTAACACACAGCACACAGCCACCACACAGATCAGGGAGGATCAGGAACCAAGGAACAAAGCCCTCACCCAACAGAGACAACAAGCAGATATCAGCACACAGACCTGTAATCTTCCCAGTCCCACATGCCTGGACATCGGCATAAAAACAGTCACTAACAGCCAGGACAACGTCTCCACTAGAGTCCAATCACTGTAACACAGCAGGCACTCAATATTCCAACCTACCAGAAGCACATCGAAAAGACCTTACTACAACATGTATGAAGATCATAGACACCCTTAAGAAAGAAATGGGAAAAATCTCATTAAGAATTCAAGGAAGGGGCTGGAGAGATGGCTCAGCGGTTAAGAACAGTGGCTGCTCTTCCAGATGTTCTGAGTTCAGTTTGCAGCAACCACATGGTGGCTCACAGCCATCTCTAGGGAGATCTGACGCCCTCTTCTGGCATAAATGCATACGTACAGTTAGAGCACTCATCCATAAAATAAAGATAAGAAGGAAGAAAAAAAAAAAAGAAATCAAGGAAAATGCACACACCATGTAAAGATATGAATAAACTCCTTTAAATAAAATCCAAGGAAACACAAAGAGTGTAAGGAAATGTATAAAACTGTTCAAGAACCGATAAGAAAGTAGAATCAATAAAATCCAAACTGAGGCAATTCAGAAAATAAAAAATTTGAGTATTTGAACAGGAACTACAAAGGCAACCGTCACCAAGAGCCTCAGTACTGGTGGCTTCCACATTATTCTTTCACTCCTCCAAGAGATCTTTCCTGCCCAAACCTCTTAGAGCAACCCCTGACTCACAGTGCCTACTTTATTTTATTAGCTGCAATTTTTTAATTAATTTACATTTTGCTATCTTTCTTCTCTTCTTTACTCTAGAATCTAAAAGCTCTGAGACTGGGAAACATGCCTAGCATTTAACTACTTGTGGGATGCATGCCTAATGACTTACAGATCCAAGTACACAAACTTAATAAAGCCTGCATTATTACCGATCATCTCAGGTTGTAGGACAGATGGCCCTTTGCATGACACAGTGCAGTCCACTGGCCTATTAAGTTTAGGATGTGCTAAATGCCAGCTTTGCTTGGACAAAGCCTCCAGAACAAAGCTCACCATTTCTTCTTTGATGCGCTCTGTGATCTTTTCAGTAGCCTCCTCATGAGCATGGAACAAGCTGATGATGCTGGTGTTGTCAGGGTCCAGTATGTTTCCATCTTCATCTCTGATGATCAGATCGAGCTCAAGGATTCTGTAAGGCAAGAACCGGAGGTGACCCTCACTGTAGAGGCCTTCAGGGTGTCTTCTGCAGCAAAGGGTTGATTAAAAGCTAAAACCTCTAGGAAAAGGGAAATGGCTAAGTAAACTGATCAGTAATGGAAAACTAGGGAGTGGAGTTAAAAGTGTATCGTTTGGGGGCTGGTGAGATGGCTCAGTCGGGAAAACGCTCTTTCCAAGCAAGGGGACCTGAGTTAGAGTCTCTGAAGCCACAGAACAAAAGCAGGTATGGTGGCAGATGCTTGAAATCCCAGTGCTGGAGAAACAAGCAGATCCCTAGCGCTCACTGGCTGGCCAGCCCAGACAACTTGGTGAGTTCTCGGCCAGTGAAAGACCCTGTGCAACACAAAGAAATGAGAACCAGTGGGTGGAGCCTGAAGAAGGACACTTCAGGTTTTCCTCTCGCCTCTGTCTGCATCTGCACACACATGTGCACCTGCATACATGAAAACATGCACACACAGAGATAGTATGTAATTTTGGCATGTGTAGTAAAAGATCTCCACGAATAAAATAAAATGTGGAATAAGTGTACTTTATGTGAAATAAATCAAGCCACAGAGTCAGATGTGTTTTCTGGTTGTATGTATAAGAACAGCCATGAACAGCGATCTAGATACAAAAAAGGACCAGTTCACACACAGACCTGAGTCACCCAGGAGGAAAGCAGAGGGCCTGGGGCTGGGAGACATGGAGTAATCAAAGGAGGCATGTGCAGTGTCTCAGTTTGTTTAATGTTTCAGCATACACACACACACACACACACACACACACACACACACACACACACACACACACACATGCACACACGCACACACACACATACACACACAGAGGTATTCCTATATCATTCAACAAATAATGTGAAATGGTTGTTGGGGTCAAACAATGTGAGATATAGTGATTGCTACCCACTGCTTGCTCTTCAGCTGCTTGGCTTCAGGCCACAGGCTTTCACTTCTTTGGTATTGATCTGTGTCAACAGCACCTGTCACTCTGCCTGTCACCGGAGACACCAACAGCACTGACAGGAAACTCACAAGCATCAGCTATCTTCAGCCGTGGTACACTCACCACCCCCAACCCTGAAAAGCAGGTTCTGTTAGTAGTCCCATTTTCCAGATTTAAAAGAGACTACGAAGAGGGAGCTAGCTAGTTTTCTCGGAATCAGTGTTAATACAAGCTAACACAGCTCCCTGCCTGCTCTCTGCACCTTTACTGTAAACTGTTTTGCTCCTCGGAGCAGTGTATGCATTGGGCTGGGAGGAGGAGCCGGTTGGCAGGTTGTAACTTGAAGCTCCTCTTGCACTTAATGCTGGTCAGAGCATGTCAATCATCCATGCTCCCTTAGGAGGGAGCCCCATTGCTCTCTTCTGTTCAAGAAAGTAATGCTACAAATCTGAGGAGTGGTATGAAAGGAAACCCTCCCCCACCCCACAAATATTTTTAAAAGAAAGAGAATAAAGGAAACGTAAACCAGATTTTGCCAAGCTCACTATCACACCTTCCATTTGAGTTAGCTCAATCTGAAGAGCCAGCACCTCTGAAGACGTGCTATTGCCCATGCGCTGCCCAGACATTAGCCAGAGCTCTTCCGATTTGCGAGTGAGAACTTCCTCTTGGTGATCCAGCTTCTGCTTCAGCTGCTTTTCACTTAACCTTGCTTCATCTAGTTCCACTTTCAGTGTCTCTAACTAAATCAGGAAAAGAGAAAGAGGCACAACCTTTGAACTGAGGGTTCCTTGAGTTCCTTTGACTTTCCATCCTGAAAACTGTATTTAG